TATATAACATGATAATCAATTTAATAAATTGAAAATAAAGGAAAAACCTGCTATAAAATAATGTTAAATTACTCTATACTGTCAGCCAGTGATGGAGCTAGGTGGGCGGAAGAGGGTTAATATATATATATATATGGGATGTTGAATGCCTTTGACTTCTCTGCTTATTTAAGTTTTTTTATTTTTTGAACCACCTTTTGGTGAATAACCTGGAACCGCTGCCACTGCTGTCAGCGTGTATATAATTTCATATCAAGAGTTAATTTGAATCCCAGATTCATAAAATCCTACCAACTAGGACACAGAGCGAAGAATTGAAAAAGAAATTGAAATTAATATAATTAATGGAACATTCTTTCTTACAATTTTTCAAGTGATTCATTGAATTACAAAGAGTAACATTATCGTGCAAACAATTGTGTAATTGTTGCAGTGTCAACTTCTCCAATTTCCTGTACTGAGCCATTTGGATTACCAACTTCTTCATCTTCCCTTGAAGAAAATGCAGGCCTTTTGGGAGAATTCATAGCTAAATTCAGATCCTTTAATAAATACGAAACTTCTAACATTGTAGGCCTATCCAATGGATTTTTTTTGGACACATAATAGGGCAATTTGCATGCATTTCAATAGTTTACAAGATGAGGTTGTATCATCAAGTGATGGATCCATAAACTCCATACCATTTCCATCTCTCCACATCTCAAATGCCTGGATTATAAAAGAAAAAGTTAAAAAAAATTTAATTAAATACAACAATAACATACTCTGTGTATTTTCACAAGTGAGATCTGAAAATGATAGTGTATACACAGACCTTACCCTTATCTTGTGGAGGTAGAGAGATTGTTCACGATAGACTCTTGGCTCAAGATTTAACATATATACACTGTTTTGTGGCCAGAATGATGCTTTCGGTGAGTTTGGCTTATTCCAATACCCTCCATTGTATGATATTGGCTGAACTTCCTGGATCCACCAGAACACGTTTGATTTTTCAATCTAGTACATTTAAAGAAATTACCAGTGCATCGTTGTGCGATGGAAATAGTCCTCCTCCGTGAAAGTGGTGTCGTCTTGAGCGACTTCCCGGAGTCTCTTGCTATGGGTTATTGATATCTTCGTCTTTTTTTCTGCCGAGAAGGTGACCCCGTTGATCTCATTCCCCCCGAAGATCATGTTGATCTTCTAGCGCGGGGGATCTTCTCCTGCTTTCGAGGGCTCCGCATTATCACAGTTGCGACCATAATTATTCTTGGCCCAGTCACTTAAGAATTCCTTGAGATGGCTATTTTTCAATAGTGTCTCCACTTCTTCACGCAGATGACGGCAATCCCCAGTCCGGTGGCCATTCGTGCTGTGGTACTCGCACCACAAATTGGGATCCCTTTGGCTGGGATCGGACCTCATCAGCTTAGGGAACCATGCTTCTTTAGTGTTTCCCATAGCTGATACCAACTCCACTATACTGACGTTGAATTTGTATTCTGACAGCCTGGGGTAGGAAGGATCCCGTGTACCTGATGTTTCTTTGTCCTGCAAGGATCTGTTGTTCTGATCGCGATCAGTTCTTCTGTCGGTAACGAACCTGTCTGCCGACGGAAAACCTCTGTCGCATCCTTCGGCCTATTCGTAGGGCAAAAATTGACCCCTCGAAGACCGCCTATATTTGTCGAAATCATCTTTTGATTTTTCTTTACTCTTCTCCCGTCCTTTTGCCGATGACGTGAAGCCAATCTGATCATCTTTAATCCTTATCTTAGGCTCGTTCCGGTTGTGGACATCCACTCAAGTCGTCACTTGGAACTCAAGCAAGCTTTCCTTCAATTTCCGGGAAGCGTCAGAGCTTCTCAGATTCAGACCCTTGGTGAATGCTCCAGCCGCCCATTCATCCGGAACATCCGAGAGCAACATCCTCTCCTTTTGGAACCCGATGACGAATTCCCGTAGCAACTCAGACTCTCCTTGTGCAATTCTGAATATGTAGGCCTTTCGGGCCTGTATCTTTCTGGGCCCAGCATAGGCCTTAATAAAATAGTCCGCGAGCATCTCAAAGGAATCTATGAAATACTCGGGTAACAGCGAATACCACATCAAGTCTCTCCTCGTGAGAGTCTCTTCGAATTTCTTCAACAAAACAAATTCAATCCCGCGGGGAGCTAAATCATTCCCCTTTACCGCCGTTGTATAGGTGGTAATATGCTCTTGAGGGTCTGAAGTCCCATCATACTTCGACACCTCGGGTATTTTAAATCGCTCCGAGATTAATTCTGGTACCGCGCTTGGTTTGTACGGCAGCTGAGTATACTTCTTTGAGTCCGGCTCTTTCAGCACCGGTGGCGCACCCAGGATTTTGTCCATGCGGGTGTTCACTTCCTTCATAAAACGTAAGAGTTCTCTCTTGAATTGATCCTTCTCATTGTTGGGGCCGAATCAGCTCCCCTCCTAGCCCCATCGGAGCCAACCTCGCCCCTCAGGGTGTTGTTGTCTACCCTCTGCATTGTTTGATTCTCGGGAGCATCGGGACGAACTGGACCTCGTCCATTCGCATTATTGGAAGTCCTCGACAACGCCTGCTTCAACTCTGTCATAACCTTATCATATCGTGTGAGATGGCCTAGAATGATCGCTTGTTGCTCTTGCAGGACCCTTACCGCTTCAACAATATGCTCCTCTTCAGCATCATCGAGAGTCGCCTCCCGAACATGTCGCAAGTACCGCCTCTCGTGGACCGGCGTAGCATCGTTCCCCTCATTGCGGGCGTCACTCACTGAATCCTCATGATGAGGCTGGTGTCCTTGGGCCTCAAGATTGTGTATGTTGTTAACACCATTATCTGCGATTTTTTGCTAAGACAAATAATCAAAACACATTAGTAAAAGAGGGAAGGAACAACTTAATTACACGGTTGTCTAGGCTCCAAACTGTTTACCCATAAAACGGTACAGTTGAATTTATACATGGTTTCTAGACAAGTGAATTATTTGATCCTGAATAATAAAATAATTAAAGAAATACATAATACTTAGCCTTGAAATGAAGACAAAATAGTAGAAACAGTCATTCCGAGAGCAGGGCTTCCGGGCACAATACTAATGAAATCAAGAATTAAAAAGATAAAATTTTATAAAGCTTTGAATTGATTATAGCATAAGTTTACGAGAAAATTCGTGTCCTTTACAATGATAACAGAGCTCACAATTTATAGTTGCACCTAGGGAACAAAGTCCTAGGATCATGCCCTTCTTTAATGTCAATTATGAGGGCCATCGAAGAATGTGTAACGGTGAGCATAACTGACAAATTCTTTGTAACGGGCAGTATACTAAATGCTGTGGAATATTCTCCATTAAATGCTACCGGGCGACAGGTATTTATTGCATCTTTATGAGCGTTATTCTTTCCGGTGACAAATAGAACAGTTGTCTTCGGTTTTAACTATCATCCGCCTACGGTTCCACATGTCACTCTCTTGTACAACCACTTAACATAACATATTTTACCCTATATAATATTGGTTCCAGATTCAGAAAATAATAGAAAATAAGTTTCAAGGTCAGGTATATATACGAATTTCCATCTCTGTCTCTCTATTTTCTGATTTTTCCCTTCTTACTAAGTACATACTATACACACTAACAGTTGACTAATATCGCGTATTAGATGGAAGGAAAAATATTCCCGACAGGTATACATGTTCATGTAACACTGTAACAAGTTGGCTAATTAAAAGTCAAGTCTACCAGTTTAGTTGTCACTGCTATAGTAATTGAACGAGTTTAATTATTTCTATGCATGGACAATGTACGCGTATATATTTTTTCCAGCATTTGATAAAATTAACTTACAATAACAACTACCTCTTCACATCAAACATGATAATCGATTTAATAAGTTGAAAATAAAGGAAAAACTTGCTATATATAATGTTAAAATTTTTTTATACCGTCGGCCAGTGGAGGAGTTAGGTGGGCGGAAGAGGGTTCATCCGAACTCCCTTCGCCGAGAGATCAGATTACATTATATATATATATATATATATAACAACTACCTCTTCACATCAAACATGATAATCGATTTAATAAATTGAAAATAAAGGAAAAACCTGCTATAAATAATGTTAAATTACTTTATACTGTCAGCAAGTGGCGGAGCTAGGTGGGCGGAAGAGGGTTCATCCGAACTCCCTTCGCCGAGAGTGTGTATATATATATATATATATTGAATGCCTTTGACTTCTCTGCATATTTAAGTTTTTTTATTTTTTGAACCACCATTTGGTGAATATCCTGGAACCGCCGCCACTGCTGTCAGCGTGTATATAACTTCATATCAAGAGTTAATTTGAATCCCAGATTCATAAAATTCTACCAACTAGGACACAGAGCGAAGAATTGAAAAAGAAATTGAAATTAATATAATTAATGGAACATCTTTCTTACAATTTTTCAAGTGATTCATTGAATTACAAAGAGTAACATTATCGTGCAAACAATTGTGTAATTGTTGCAGTGTCAACTTCTCCAATTTCCTGTACTGAGCCATTTGGATTACCAACTTCTTCATCTTCCCTTGAAGAAAATGCAGGCCTTTTGGGAGAATTCATAGCTAAATTCACATCCTTTAATAAATACGAAACTTTTAACATTGTAGGCCTATCCAATGGATTTTTTTGGACACATAATAGGGCAATTTGCATGCATTTCAATAGTTTACAAGATGAGGTTGTATCATCAAGTGATGGATCCATAAACGCCATACCATTTCCATCTCTCCACATCTCAAATGCCTGGATTATAAAAGAAAAAGTTAAAATAAATTTAATTAAATACTGTTGGGATTTTAAGCTTGTGTAGCTTAAAGAGGGTGAATGAGAAATGGAGGAAAAATAAAATATTTGAGTTTCCCTTGGAATGAAATGAAGCTATCCTTACAGCTAACCGAATACTCAACAGAGTACCCCACAGCAAAACGCAATCTATTCCATATGAAAAATGGAAAGGAAGAAAACCCAACTTGAAATATTTCAAAGTGTGGGGGTGTCTAGCAAAGGTACAAGTTTCTTTACCTAATATGGTTAAAATCGGACCAAAAACTGTTGATTGCATTTTCATTGGATATGCTACAAACAGTAAAGCATGTCGGTTTTTGGTTCATAAATCCGATAATCCCGAAATTCACGTTAATACGGTAATAGAATCAGATAATGTTGAATTCTTTGAAAGCATCTATCCGTATAAAACTGAATGTGAGTCGTTAAGTGAAAGACCTAAACGACCTCGGGAAGAACCAAAGGAAAATACTCCAAGTATAGAAGATCCAAGGCGTAGCAAACGTCAAAGAACATCTACTTCCTTTGGACCAGATTTTGTGACATTCTTGCTTGAAAATGAGCCTCAAACTTTTAAAGCAGCTATGTCATCTTCTGATTCAGCGTTTTGGAAAGAGGCAAACAATAGTGAGATTCAATCAATTTTGGATAACCATACATGGGAATTGGTAGATCTTCCTGCAGGAAATAAGCCTTTAGGTTCGAAATGGATCTTTAAACGGAAAGTGAAAGCTGATGGCACTATTGACAAATATAAGGCAAGACTTATTGTCAAACGTTATAGACAAAAGGAAGGCCTTGATTACTTTGACACTTACTCGCCAGTAACGAGGATAACATCTATTAGGGTGTTAGTGGCACTAGCGGTCGTGTATGGTCTTGAAATCCATCAAATGGATGTTAAAATAACTTTCTTAAATGGAGAATTAGAGGAAGAGATTTACATAGAATAACCTGCGGGTTTTGTGGTAACTGGTAAAGAAAAGAAAGTGTGCAAACTTGTTAAGTCGCTTTATGGACTTAAACAAGCACCCAAATAATGGCATGCCAAATTTGGCCAAACAATGTTGGCAAGTTGGTTTAAAATCAACGAGTGCGACAAATGTGTTTATATTAAAAACACTCCAGGTCATGAAGTCATTGTTTGTTTATATGTTGATGACATGTTGATAATGAGCAAAAACATGGCAGATATAAATGCTACTAAGCG